ATATAGAGAGAGATAGATATAGAGAGATAGATATAGAGAGAGATAGATATAGAGAGAGATAGATATAGAGAGAGATAGATATAGAGAGAGATAGATATAGAGAGAGATAGATATAGAGAGAGATAGATATAGAGAGAGATAGATATAGAGAGAGATATAGAGAGAGATAGATATAGAGAGAGATAGATATAGAGAGAGATAGATATAGAGAGAGATAGATATAGAGAGAGATAGATATAGAGAGAGATAGATATAGAGAGAGATAGATATAGAGAGAGATAGATATAGAGAGAGATAGATATAGAGAGAGATAGATATAGAGAGAGATAGATATAGAGAGAGATAGATATAGAGAGAGATAGATATAGAGAGAGATAGATATAGAGAGAGATAGATAGAGAGAGATAGAGAGAGATAGAGAGAGATAGAGAGATAGAGAGATAGAGAGATAGAGAGATAGAGAGATAGAGAGATAGAGAGATAGAGAGATAGAGATAGATAGAGATAGAGAGAGATAGAGATAGAGAGAGATAGAGAGAGATAGAGATAGAGAGAGATAGAGAGAGATAGAGATAGAGAGATAGAGAGATAGAGAGATAGAGAGATAGAGAGATAGAGAGATAGAGAGATAGAGAGATAGAGAGATAGAGAGATAGAGAGATAGAGAGATAGAGAGATAGAGAGATAGAGAGATAGAGAGATAGAGAGATAGAGAGATAGAGAGATAGAGAGATAGAGAGATAGAGAGATAGAGAGATAGAGAGATAGAGAGATAGAGAGAGAGAGAGAGAGAGAGAGAGAGAGAGAGAGAGAGAGAGAGATAGAGAGATAGAGAGAGAGATAGAGAGAGAGATAGAGAGTGATTGATTGATTGATTTTGTTTGTATACAGAGCAATATGCTTCAATAGGACACTAATATCAACTCTACGGCTTATCTATCACAAATAATCTAATATGACATAATAAACAATATTAATAACAAAGAAACATGATATATACTCTAGAATGAATAAAATGTCATTACGTATGTAAGGAATGGTGGTGGTGATGTCGGGCTTATAAGGGCCACTGACAGCATAAGCCGTACATATAGTGGTGGTGGGGGTAGCAGAGGCCACCACCACTATTCACACTGAACAATGTATGTAATTTATAAATAAGAAATATTTACACTTACCTTGGAAGAGATGCTGGCATTGGTTTAGGGTGGTCGAATTTAGGCAGGGCAGCATTGCCACTGGCCCTATATACTGTACCACCAACAAGATTTTCTTTTTTCTATCACCTAATTGCTTAACTTGCTTGCTACACTGTTAATGCTACATTTATCGCTGGCTGGTGCTGTAGCCTTTATCGGCTCCTGCTACTTTAGTTTTGTACATATCATAGAATCGCTGAAGAAGGCACATTCTCCCCTCTCTCTTCCTCCTCCACTTTGGTAGTTTGCTACGATTTCTTTCTTTAATTCTGGCGTGTTTCTAACTTTCTTTACCAAAAGGCTGGCACTAGGAGCTTTCTTTTGGCCCAATGTGGCTTATTTAGCAGTTGCAAGAACAATAAACAATAGATTATTACATATGAACGCCGGGGGTGGGGGGTGCACACTTGCCGAGAAGCAATGCGTCTTTGGGAGGCTTTGTGTGCTTGGGGCCACTGGGACACATACCACATGGCTGCCGAATTTAAAGGGAAGTCACGAAAATAGAGGCTATACAGTGGACCCCCGGTTAACGATTTTAATCCGTGCAAGAGGGGTAATTGTTATGCGAAATAATCGTTATGTGAATGAATTTTCCCCATAAGAAATAATGGAAATAAAATTAATCCGTGCAAGACACCCAAAAGTATGAAAAAAAAAATTTTACCACATGAAATATACATTTTCCCACACACAAAGAGAAGGATACATGCACAATAGTAGAGTAGTACATGCACAGTATATATTGTGCATGTACTACTCTACTAAATGAAGAATAAATGACACTTACCTTTATTGAAGATGCAGCAATGACTGATGAGACACTGTGTCCTGGGAGTGCCTTTTCCTCCTGAGTACTGTAGGTCCTGTTTGGCATTTTCTTCCAGAACAGGCCTTATCACACTGTGTATGCCACTACGATTCTTAAATCTCTCAAACCAACCTTTGCTGGCTTTAAATTCACCAATATGAGCACTAGTTCCAGGCATTTTTCCCTGTTCACCTGGGTGTTAGTCGACTGGTGTGGGTTGCATCCTGGGAGACAAGATTAAGGACCCCAATGGAAATAAGTTAGACAGTCTTCAATGACACTGACTTTTTTGGGTTATCCTGGGTGGCAAATCCTCTGGGGTTAATTGTTTCTTGGTATTCTCAATAAGCCACACCAACAACGGTGCTACAGCAGCAGCAGCAGCTGACGGTGGTACAGCAGCAACAGACGGTGGTACAGCAGCAACAATGCTACAGCAGCAGCAGACGATGCTGCAGCAGCAGCAGACGATGCTACAGCAGCAGCAGGCGATGCTACAGCAGCAGCAGCAGCAGCAGCAGACAATGCTACAGCAGCAGCAGACGATGCTACAGCAGCAGCAGCAGCAGACGATGCTACAGCAGCAGCAGCAGCAGCAGACAATGCTACAGCAGCACAGCAGACGTGCTACAGCAGCAGCAGCAGCAGACGATGCTACAGCAGCAGCAGCAGCTGACAGTGCAGCAGCAGCAGCAGCAGCAGCAGCTGTACCACCAATAGTAGCGATACTTATCAATGATCTTTTTCTTCTTCTCTATTGTAATTCTCACCCTATTGCTGTAGGGTTGGCACTAGAAGCTTTCTTGGGTCCCATGGTCACTTATTTTCCAGAAAAAGCACCGAAAACACTGTAATAATACGAAATATTCCGATTGTATGCTTGGATGTTACCGCGGAGGCTGGCTGGTAAACAATGCCACCGGCGGAACATGTGAGCGTGGATCAGGCCGCACATTGGACGCGTCTCGGAGGAAAATCGGTAAGCGGGTTTTTAAGCGGTATGTGAGGCAAAATTTTTGCAATTAAAGTAAGCGGTATGCGAAATAATCGCTATGTGATGCCATCGTTATGCGGGGGTCCACTGTATTTTGATGAGAAAAGTTGCCGATAATCGAAAGTCAAGAAAATAGAGCCTCACGAAATTAGAGGGTCAACTGTACAGACACAATGGAAAAATAAACACATAAGCAGTATAATGTGATCCTTTACTGACAATGTTTTGCCCACATGGTGGGCTTTATCAAGTCACAAACAGATCGTTATCTTGCATAACTACATATGCACCCACCAGTCCTGTGCAGGTCTATATCAGATCCCACCAACCCAGCATTCTCCACTGACTCCATCCTATAAATTCTTGCATACCTTTCACCCAGGTAGATCTGTTTGTGACTTCATGAAACCTACTGTGTGGGCGAAATGTTGTCAATAAGGGATCGCATTATACTGCTTGTGTGTTTATTTTTCCACTACTATTATTGCAATACACCCAACAAACGGATGGTAGTAGTATTAATAGGTTTCTTTTTTGAGGATTTTCCACAATTTTAAATCTATTTTCTTGGAGGAATGTGCCTGTGTAGAACAAGCATTTACTAAACTGGATAAATGCTTGTGCTACTCACACTGCAGACAGAGGGTGAAGGCTATAAGTATTGCACCTCATAGGGAGCACTAAATCAGGATGTATCTGGGCCTCCCAAGCAGCAGGTGTAAGAAACCAGGTGTAAGAAACGTACACCTGGTAACCGTGGCTTCCATGTCCGTTGAAGAATTCGCTAGGAAGTGGCCCATGACGCCAACCTACATACACCGCTGATATGATCCTGTGTGGTCACTGAAAGAAAGTGAGACATGAGCAGGCATTTGTCCACTAGAATTAATGATCATAAATATGCATGCAACAGGGACAGTCTTGGTAAAATGGGAAGAATCTTAATAACACATGCATGATTCCCAAGGACACAGAAGGACATTAAATGTTTTGGTCCAAAGCAACAGTGTTCATAACAGAACCAAATACTATTCACATTGTTTGTTGAATGTTTTTTATTGTATAACAAAATTAGCTTGAATCAGCACCACTCTGGCACATGATCATCAGTCAAGCAAAATCTCTGCTACCACCAGATGCAATAGTCTGGTGTAAAGCTACTAGACCTCAGTCCCAGGACTGAAACAATTCCATTTAACATGTCCTACAGCAATTGCATTTTTTCCATTAGAGCAATATTTAGACACCTCTATAGCAGAATGACTCCAAATAATAAAATAAATACATGTAGATATGAAAATAACTTGAGTCCTGGAAATGGGAAGTACAATGCCTGCACTTTAAAGGAGGGGTTTGGGATATTGGCAGTTTGGAGGGATATGTTGTGTATCTTTATACATATATGCTTCTAAACTGTTGTATTCTGAGCACCTCTGCAAAAACAGTGATCATGTGTGAGTGTGGTGAAAGTGTTGAATGATGAAAGTATTTTCTTTTTGGGGATTTTCTTTCTTTTTTGGGTCACCCTGCCTCGGTGGGAGACGGCCGACTTGTTGGAAAAAAAAAAAATGTAGATATCCTAAATTAGTGGCATTCAGCATCATTTGGTGGGTATAGGTCTTGATCAAAATTTCGGCTGAACAATCTGAGGTGGACTTGGAATAGATCAACTTTTACACTGGGACTTACGATGTGAACTAATTTTCTGTTCATGTAGTTCAAACCAAAAAAAAAAAACATTGTAGAGGAGGAAGGATCAACTTGAATTTTACATCTTCACTGCAACCCCAATTCTTAATTCTTAAGGTTTAATTATATCAAGTTATTTTTATAATGTTACTATAATTCTGGATTCTTATTTTGTGGGGTAGTTATTTGCCAAGTCATTTTTGTTGGCACAACCACATTTTCATGGTCATTATTTACTTCAAGGAATTTTTACACTAGTCCAAAAATAAAAGTATAAATTGTGTTTTTAATTGAAATTTTTTTTCAGTTGGCTCTCCGGACTGGAGAATTCTCGGTGGTTGGCGCATCTCTCAGGATTACTGAAAGCTGCTGTAACAGTTGCTCAAGCAGTTGTGCGTGAAGCAAGACCAGTTTTAGTTCACTGTTCTGATGGATGGGATCGGACTCCCCAGATTACTTCACTTGCGCAACTGTTGATGGATCCTTATTACCGAACGATACATGTAAGCTTAACCATAGCTTTGTTATTAGGCATCCTCTATAAAACAGATGTATATTTAATGGTATTTATTCCATTGAAAAAATCCTGCAGCTTTCCCAAAAGATAGCCAAAAAACAGAGGAACAAGATGCACGAGCAAAGACATTTATTAGGAAACATTTTGGTCCTGGGACATTGTTCAGTGTGGTATACATTGGGTACAAAAAAGTTGATAAAGACGAGATGCATGTGAAGAAGGAAGGTCAGATCACGTCAGGTTAAAGCGATAGTCAAGTCAGGCAGCACTTAAGTGCCACCTTCTAAGCTCAAGATTGGTGGTAAGCTGGTTTCAATCCAGCTCATCACATTACCCTTTGTATTTCTGTGAATCATGCAACCATTGTTTTGAGTGTTGCTGCTTTTTTTCTTGCATAACACTGTAGCCATCTCCCACTGAGGTAGGGTGACCCAAAAAAGAAGAAACTTTCACCATCACTCAACATCACTGTCTTGCCAGAGGCATGCTGATACTACAGTTTAGATTCCCCAACCCCTCCTTTAGAGTGCAGGTGATGTACTTTCTACCCCCAGGACTCAAGTCGGGCTAAATTTCCCCTGAACCCCCTTTCAAAAATGTTACCGTCTCACACTTAACAGCACTTTAAGGGCAAAAAAACCATTTCCCCCACCCCTGCTAACATGTCACACCCTTTGCTTGATTTCAAAAACCCCTCACACATAAAACCTCTACCCCTCCCCCTCCATTCCTAGGTGTTCCTCCCCCACCTTTCCTCAACAAAGATTTATACCCCCTCCAAGTCATTCTTTTTTTGTTCCACCTCTCTGGGTGTCCAAAACCTCAACCCCCTCTTCAGCCCCAAAATTACTTTTAGTAACCCCTCACCTTTTTCTCTAAGCTTAAAATTCTCTGCTAATATTCACCCACACATTGCTTCACCCAAAATCCCCCACTCCCCTCTCCCCCTCCTCCATGCTTCACTCCATGTAAGAGCTTTGGGTTGCCACAACCTTTCATACACCCCCCTTTTTTGCTTCCAGGGCTATTGTTTTTGTCTCCACAATTCCTCAATGATCACTTTCTTTTTCCCCTTTCAACCCTAGGGTTTCCCCCTTTGGGTCTTTCATTACCACCGTGACACGTTCACCCCCTAAATCTTTTCCAAACACACCCGGCCGACCCCAGAGGCGGGGTGCCCCAAAAGGGAAAAAACGAAATTTTCCCCATTAAATTTAGTAATACATGTATATACGGGAAAAGGGTTTATAGCCCCTTGCTCCCGCTTTTAGTCGCCTCTTACGACACGCAGGGGCTTCGGAGGAAGAATTCTTTTCCCACTTACCCTGGAGATAAGGAAATAAGCGAACAAGAACTGAAAAAAAAATACAAAAAAACCCAGGGGGGTTGTATGTATATGTTTGTCTGTATTGTAGTGTGACGTAAGTTAAGTAGAAGTGCAAATTACCGAAATCTTGCATTTTAAGAACAGAAAAAAGACCCCAGAAATCCTCCCATCGGTAAAACAATTACAGGTTTCCGTTTTACATGGGGTTGGCAGGATGGTATACCCTGGGGGTTGCTGTCTACAACCTACTACCTCCACTCCTAAATATCGAACACATTAATTTTTATTCATACTTTCCCTCCATCTGAAATCCGGGTTTCATCCCCAAATTACTCTTTAAAAGTTCACTTTATTTTCCCCTTTTACATACCCTCCCCAAATTTGTCCACCAAACCCTTTTGCAATTTCTCTTCGTTCTCTCAAAAGCAGCGTAATCGCAAAAAAGCAATGTGGTGTCCCCCACTTTGTGCAACATTCTTCTCTTGCAACCCCACTTCTTCCCCAACACCCCTGCATTCACTTCTTTACAAACTCCTTTTAAAAATATATTAAAAACTATGGTGACATTGCACTCCCTGTCAAAGGGCCCTACTTTTACTGGAAAATTATCTCCCACTCTCCTACATACCCTAATCTTATTTTTTAACCCTTTTTCCTATTTCCAGTCTCTTTACCTCATCACCCCCACGAATTGCTCCACTTCCCCCTTCCATGTCCACAAACTTGGGCTGTACACTCAAAACTTTGCATTCAAATCTACCACATCCCTTTTCAACTCCCAACTCCTTTTTCTCCCAATTTTTTAACTATGTTACCCTAATTGCTCCTCATTTAGTTTATAAATTGTAACCCTCTTCCTCCGATGCCATTTTCTTGTCCCATCTCCCTCAACTCTTTATATTTTTTTTTTTTTTTTTTTATACACTGGCCGATTCCACCAAAGGGCGGGGTGGCCCAAAAAAAAAAAACTTTCACCATCATTCACCCACACTGTCTTCCCAAAAGGGGTGCTTTACACCATTTTTTTAAACGCAACATTAACACCCCTCCTAGGTGCAGGCATGATTCCCACCCAATTCCGTGCCCGGGGCCTGCCGTTTCCCTAAACCCCTTCAAAATTTTATTTTTTTGGCTCACACCCAACACATGCAAGTTTTAAAAAACCATTTTTGTCTCCTTCACTCCTATCAAACCGCTCACCATGCCTCGGAAGCCCAACCTCCGCACAAACAAAACCTCCTTTACCCCCTCCCCCCAACCTTTCCTAGCCGACCCCTACCCCCCCTTTCCCTTTCCCCCACTACGACTGATACATCTTGAAGTCATTCGTTTCGCTCCATTCTCTCTACATGTTCCAACCCACCTAAACAACCCTTCCCCTCAGCCCTCTGGACAATATTTTTTGGGTATCCCCACCTCCTCCTAATTCCAAACTACGAATTCTCTGCTTATATTACACCACACATTGCCCTCGACAGACATCTCCACTGCCCCAGCCTTCTCCTCGCGCACATTCAAAACCCCATGCTTACAACCCATATAAAGTTTTGGGTAAAACATCTCTCTACTTTCCCCTCTTTGCCCCCAAGGGCGAATTCTTTGCCCCACAGACCCCAATGCACCACTCACCCTTTTCCCCCTCATCAATTCTATGATTCACCCATCCTTTTTTTAGACCCATCCGCTGACACGTCCATTTGCAAATATCTGAATACATCACCTCCTCCATACTCTCTCCACCCAATTGATACCCAATCTTTCATCACCAAATATTTTTTTTCCCTCATAACCTTACTCTTTCCTGTATTCACTTTTTAATTTTCTCTTTTGCACACCCAAACCAAATTCACCCCAATCTCGCAACTTCTCTTCAAATCCCCCAAAGAGTACAGTGCATCAGCAAAGAGCAACTGTGACAACTCCCACTTTTGTGATTTTTTTCTTTTAAAACTCCCCCGCCCCTTGTCAAAACCCCCGCATTACTTCTCTTTCAAACCCCATTAAATTAAAAAACAACCACGGTGACATCACACATCCTGTCTAAGGCCCACTTTTACTGGGGGAAAAAATTTCCTCTTTCCATGTCTCTAACTTGAGCCTCACTATCCTCGAAAAATCTTCACTGCTTTCGTAACCTACCTCCTACACCTACCCTGCAAAAATTGCCACATTGCCCCCCCTACCACCCTGTCATACGCCTTTTCCAAATCCATAAATGCCACCAAAAACCCCATTCCTTATCTAAATACTGTTCCTTATAGTTTCACTGTAAACACCTGGTCCACACACCCCCTACCTTTTCCCAAAAACCCCTTGTTCATTGCTATCCTATTTCCGTCTTACTTAATTTTTTCAATAATAAACCTTACCAACACTTTTCCCGGGATACTCAACAGACTATCCCCCCCACAAATTTTTTCACTCTTTTGTCCCCTTGCCCTTTAAAAAAAAGGAACATGCATGCTCTCTGCCAATCCCCCGGTACCCTTTCCCTCTTCCATACATTTATTAAAAATTTTACCAACCATCCAAAAAATATACCCCCCCTGCTTTTAAATTTTCTTTTAATCCCCCCAAACCCCCCTGCTTAAACCCTTTTTATTTTACCCACTGCCCCCACGAAATTCCCCCCCCCTCACAATGGCCTTCCCACTCTTCAAGATTTATTCCTCGTTGCCCTTACACGAAATCACAGTTCCCTCTTCATCAACATTTAACATTTTTCAAAATATTTCCCCCCATCTTCCCAATCCTTAACCCCCATTTAATAACTCCCTCTCCTATTTTAAAACTGCAAACCTTTGTTCTAGGGTTCCTTAACTTGTTTAATCTACTCCAAAATTTTTTTATTTTTTAAAAAAAATTTTGTAACATTTCCCCCACTTTTTCATTTTCTCTCTTTGTACATTTTTTCACCACTCTCTTAACCCCTTTTTCTCCTATACTCTTTCCCTCCTTTCATCACTTCTACTTTGTAAAAAAATTCCATATGCTAAATTTTTTCTCCCCTTTCTACTCTTTACTCATCATTCCACCAACCCCTCTTCCCTCCCCCCACCACTTTCCCCTTTAAACCCCAAACTTCTGCTGAACACTCTAACCTACATTTTTAAACCACCCAACCCCATCGACCCCATTGCCTATGTTCATTAGCCCCTCTATCCTCCAAAAGCTGTTTTTATTTTTCCCCCAACTGCCTCCTCTTTTAGTTTTAAACCTTCCCTCTCCTTCCCCGAGCTTCTTTTCCTTTTTTCCCATCTACCTTTTACTCTCAGGGAGTACAACTGAAAATGATCGATACATCGTGGCCCCCCTATAAAAAATGTAATCCCGAAGTCACTCACGCTTTTATCTACCAATACATAAAACCAAAAAAACTACTGTCATTCTGCCTGAAATTTATACTTGTATACTTATTTTTCCTCTTTTTTTAAAATAGTATTTCCTTTAACTAAACCCCCTTTTTTTTACAAAGTTCAAACAAAGGGCTCCCCTTCATTTACCCTGGGGACCCCAAACTTTTCCCACCACCCCCTCTCAAAAGTTTCTCCTACTTTAGCATTAGGTCCCCCCCCACAATTTCTCCCACTTGGTTTAAAGGCTCCTATACATTCACTTAACATTCCCAAAAAACCCCTTTTTTTTTCTCCTCTCTCTCTTTCTTCTTCTCGATTCCCCCTCTTTCTCCGGTGATCCCTTATTTACCCTTTTCATCCAAACCCTTTACTTTATCCCTAAATTTTTCATTTTTTCAATTCTTTTTCTTCTTCCATCGACTTCCTTAATTCCCCTTCCTTTTTTTAAATCTCTAAACTCCGATTTTCCCTTTATTTCCCCCCCCGAAAAACCCCCCCTACTCCCTTCACTTTTTTCCTTTCCGGAATTTCCCTTCTTTCATTATCATCAGCAAACCTTTTCGTCAAACTAACTAATTCCCCACAAAATTTTTGCATCCATTTATTTTTTCTTTTTCATAAACTATATTCAACAAAAAAAAGTATATTCTTTTCCCCTCTTAAAAGGGACTCCAGAAGTTAAACCCTCAACCTTTTATTATTCTTTCCCCAAAACTATTTCATTGTGCCCAATCTTTCTTTTAATTATTTATCCAATTTTTTTTTTTGCATAACCACACCTTTTAAAGAAATTTAAAGGCCCCCCCCCCCCCCAAAATTTACCCTGGCACCCTAAAAATTGACAATGCCCCTCTATTTTAATTTGGTTTTCCCATCCCTTATTTTTCCCGGTATGTAACAAGCTTCAAGGGGGGCCCTTATCTAAATTGTAAAAAAAATCTTTAATTTTTTTTATTATGGGGATTTCTTCTTTTTTTTTTTAAAAAAGCTAAAGGCCCCCCTTCATTTAAAACCCTTGGGGACCTAAACTTGTAAAGGCATTTTTAATACCATTTTGGGTTTTTTTCCCCTTTTCTTGCTAGTTTTGTTATTTCCCTTTTTCCCGGAAAGTGGCAAACTTCCTCCTTGTGGTGTCGAAAAGGGGTTTAAAATGGGGAGGAGGGTGTTTTTTTCTCTTAAACCAAAATCGTATCGGGCCTTACTCAGACAGGATGGGACTTACACATGACAACAAGGAAATGAGTGAAATACTGAAATCCCAGTACAACTCTGTGTTTAGGGAGCCACTAATCAGTCTGAGGAACGACGCCCCAAATGATTTCTTCATGAATGAGCCTCAAAACTCCATAAATGTATGCCAGATTTCCGACATTACCCTAACTTCGATAGACTTCGAAAAAGCCATTGACAACATACCCATGCACTCAGCCCCGGGCCCAGACTCGTGGGACTCTGTATTCATTAAGAACTGCAAGAAACCCCTCTCAGGTGCCTTAAGTACACTATGGAGAAGGAGCTTAGACATGGGTGAAATTCCACAGTCGCTTAAAACAACGGATATAGCCCCACTCCATAAAGGTGACAGCAAAGCATTAGCTAAGAACTATAGACCAATAACTCTGACGTCCCACATCGTAAAAATCTTTGAAAGAGTGCTAAGAAGCAGGATTGCAAATCGCCTCGATTCTCAAAATCTGCACAATCCAGGGCAGTATGGGCTCAGGGCAGGTCACTCCTGCCTCTCACAACTACTGGATCACTATGATATGGCCTTGGATGCACTGGAAGAAAATCAGAATGCAGGTGTAATATACACAGACTTTGCAAAAGCGTTTGACAAATGCAATCATGGCTTAATAGCGCACAAAATATGTCCTAAAGAAATAACTGGGAAAGTGGGGAGATGGATCTTCAACTTCCTAACAAATCGAACACAGAGTAGTGGTTAACAGAGTTAAATCGGAGGCTGCCATAGTGAAGAGCTCTGTTCCACAAGGCACAGTACTTGCCCCCATCTTATTCCTCATTCTCATATCAGACATAGATATACATGTATACACCACAGCACCGTATCATCCTCTGCGGATGATACTAGGATCTGCATGAGGCTGTCATCTGCTGAGGGCACAGTTAACCTCCAAGAAGATATAAACAAAGTTTTCCAGTGGGCAATGGAAAACAATATGATGTTCAATGAGGGCAAATTCCAGCTACTCCTTTATGGAAAATTGGAGGAGATAATAGCTAGAACAGAGTATGCTACAAACTCTGGCCATACAATAGAGCAGAAAAATAATGTAAGGGACCTGGGAGTAGTAATGTCTGAGGATCTCACTTTCAAGGATCACAACAGTGCCACGATCGCACGTGCAAAGAAAATGATAGGATGGATAATGAGAGCGTTCAAAATGAGAGATGCCAAGCCAATGATGATCCTTTTCAAATCACTTGTTCTCTCTAGGCTGGAATACTGCTGTACATTAACATCTCCATTCAAAGCAGGTGAAATTGCAGATCTAGAGAGTGTACAGAGATCCCTTACTGCACAAATAAGTTATGTCAAGCACCTTAACTACTGGGAACTCTTGGAAGCACTTGACTTGCACTCGTTGGAACGCAGGAGGGAGAGATATATCATAATCTACACTTGGAAAATCCTGGAAGGAATGGTCCCGAATCTGCACACAGAAATCACTCCCTACGAAAGTAAAAGATTGGGCAGGCGATGCAAAATACCCCCAATTAAGAGGAAACGCCATAAGTGTCCGGGGCCCAAGACTTCAACAGCATCCCATCAAGCATAAGGGGAATTGCCAATAAACCCCTGGCTGCTTTCAAGAGAGCTGGACAGATATCTAAAGTCAGTGGCTGATCAGCCGGGCTGTGGCTTGTACGTTGGACTGCGTGCGGCCAGCAGTAACAGCCTGGTTGATCAGGCCCTGTTCCACCGGGAGGCCTGGTCATGGACCGGACCGCGGGTGCGTTGATCCCCGGGATAACCTCCAGGTAACCCTGCCTTGGTGGGATACGGCTGGTTTATTGAAAGATCATCATCTCTCGCTTAGTTCAAAGCTCCCTAAATACTCATTTCACATCTTCCCAAATCAATCTCAATCTTTCTCTTTTTCTTTTTCAAGGTGCATAAACACTTAGTATTACCCACTTTTTACATCCAACCCTTATTTTAATCCACATAATCCTTGAATTTATACATTTATATTTCCTTTTCCTGCCATAACTGATCCTGCAGCATTATTGCTACTCTTTCATCTCTAACTTTCTGATACCCCTGTTCTAGTCTTATTTATTTCTTCCTGCTGAAATTCTCCTACCCCCTTCAGCTTTTTCATTTAGAACTAGGACATCTAACTTCTTTTCATATCATTTACAATCCTCTTATCATTCCAACTTGAATGTTTTCTTCTTGTATTTAGTAATTTATTCAGAAGGGGTTACTAGCCCCTTGCTCAAGGCATTTTAGTTGTTTTTATGACACACATGGCTTATGAAGTACAATGCCTGCACTTTAAAGGAGGGGTTTGGGATATTGGCAGTTTGGAGGGATATATGCTTCTAAACTGTTGTATCTGGGCACCTCTGGAAAAAGTGATTATGTATGAGTGAGGTGAAAGTGTTGAATGATGATGAAAGTATTTTCCTTTTGGAGATTTTCTTTCTTTTTGGGTCACCCTGCCTAGGTGGGAGATGGCCGACTTGTTGAAAAAAAAAAATGGCTTATGGAGGAAGGATTCTTCTCCACTTCCCCATTAGCTTCTTACCAGCTTCCCCTTGTACTTATCACAGTGTTTGCAGGGTGTTGTGTAGATTTCGTCTGTTGAAATGGGGGGGGGAAAGGAGGGGAGAGGAAGATAGAGGGTTTACATTCTGGTTAGATCTTTTATGGATGTGCTGGCTATAGCCACAGTATTATTCCTGACAAGAACACTGAGTGTTAGCCACATTATCACATGGGAGTATAGTACTAGGTACAGCATTTCTTAGTGATGTGTTCGGTAGTAGCAGTAGTGTTCAGTATGTACTGTGCCCTTTGTCTATAGATGCAGATGAAAAAATGATTGGAGTGAAGACAAATAGTTTTTATAGCTTGAGGTGCTGTTGGAGTGGGAGCCAGGTAAGGTTTATGAAGGGAACTATGAAAACTGGTTAGCCAGACTTGAATCCTGGAAGTGGGAGGTACGGTACCTGCATTTTGAATCGGGGTCGGGGATGTTGCAGTTTTAAGGGTCATTTGAACTGGGATGTTTGTTCACCTCTGACAAAACATCTATCGAATGAATGATGGTGAAGGTGTAAACTTTCTTTTGGATTACCTTGCCATGTTGGTAGATGGTCATTGTGTTAAAGCACAGAGAAGTGTATGAAGAAGACTCGCACAGCATATAGGGATTTTGTTTGGGAGATGTTTCACCTACCCAGGGCTTGTGTAGGTGAAACTTCCTATACAATACTGTAGTTGCCCATTTGTTGCCCATGTATCTTTCTAAATATGTTGAAGTTTCTTTTCTTTCTTTTTTCTCTATCTTTCTTCTTCCTCTCCTCCTCTTCCTTCTCCTCTTCCTCCTCCTCTTCCTTCTCCTTTCAAGGTCTGTCATCACCAGGCTGAATGACACCTTATTCCCATCTCAATTTTTAAAAACAATGTTGCCTTTCTATTTTCTGAAGACTATCATGGCAGATATTCTTGTGAACAAGCCAGTAATTTCCCTGAACTTCATTTAGTGTATCTTAGCACAACCTTGTTTCAGAATGCCTTCAGTGAACTAGCTATAATTATTCTTCTGAGCTTTTGGTCTTCCCTTGGCAATTAAGTTGATTTAGCACTGGTTGGTACGGCCTTCATTACAGCACAGTACATAATTTTGACGGGTGTGAACAAATTTGACATATAACCAGCGTCTGTATGCTGTCATTTTCTTCTAGAAAATAAGTTGAAAATTATAAAAAAAATCTGTGGGCTATAAGATCATTTTGGTTTGACAGTAGTAACATTCAGTAACGCCAAACTCGCCCATCTTCTCCTCAAGGGGGCACAACTCCTCTGCTAGGGAGGATAAGTCACATTTTAATGGTTGCACTACAGGCAAACTCCCAAATTTGCAGGCTTTGATTATTCAACCCTTTTACTTGAGGGTCTTCCAAGAATAACCTCTATTTTGCTATACATTTCTGTATAACAACTATACTTGCTATTAACATTCAAATGCAATCCTACAGGGTTTTCAGGTGCTAATTGAACGTGAATGGATAGAGTTTGGTCACAAATTTAGTGACCGATGTGGTGTTGGTCGAAGCTGCGAGGACGTTAATGAGAGATGTCCAGTATTTCTTCAGTGGCTGGACTGTGTGCACCACCTCCTCTGCTGGTATCCCACAGCATTCCAATTTAATCAGGCATATCTGGTTAGTGTTTGACAGATTTTTGGAGGTGCATGCATATCTATGGCTTATTTTCTCCATTCTTCAGTTTTGTATTTTGCCCAATATTGTTACTCCTATATATTAATAACTTGCCTAATATTTCCAGAATATGAAAGAGCAAGGTGATGAGGATAAAATTGATTAGGTGATGAAAGATTGGATATCAGATTGGAGGGAGAAAGTATGGAGGAGGTGAATGTATTCAGATATTTGGTAGTGGATGTGTCAGCAGATGGGTCTGTGAAGGATGAGGTGAATCATAGAATTGATGAGGGGAAAAGGGTGAGTGGTGCACTTAGGAATCTGTGTAGACAAAGAACTTTGTTTGTGGAAGCAAAGAGGGGAATGTATGAGAGTATAGTTATACCATTGCTCTTATATGGGTGTGAAGCATGGGTGATGAATGTTGCAACAACAAGAAGGCTGGAGGCAGTGGAGATGTTACGTCTGAGGGCAGTGTGAGGTGTGAATATAATGCAGAGAATTCGAAGTTTGGAAATTGGGATTACCAAAATTATTATCCAGAGGGCTGAAGAGGGGTTGTTGAGGTTGTTCAGACATGTAGAGAGAATGGAATGAAATAGAATGACTTCGAGAGTGTATAAATCTGTAGTGGAGGGAAGGAAGGGTAGGGGTTGGCCTAGGAAAGGGTGGAGGGAGGGGGTAAAGGAGGTTTTGTGTGCGAGGGGCTTGGACTTCTAGCAAGCATGCGTGAGTGTATTTGTTTATAGTAAATGGAGACAAATGATTTTTAATACTTGACGTGCTGACTGTTAGCAAGGTAACATTTATGAAGGGATTCAGGGAAACCGGCAGGCCGGACTTGAGTCCTGGAGATGGTGAGTTGTCTGCACTCTGAAGAAGGGGTGTTAATGTTGCAGGTTTATAACTGTAGTGTAAATACCCCTCTGGCAAGACAGTGATGGAGTGAATGATGAAAGTTTTTCCTCATTCAGGCCACCCTTCCTTGGTGGGAATTGGCCGATGTGTTAATAAAAAATAAATACTTTTTCCAGATACCTTAAATACCTCTGATATTAATTTTTGTAATATTTTCTCATTTACATTCTATTTAAAATTCTTTCCAGTTCCTGTAAGATAAAGTATTTGATTTTTGATTTGTTAAAAATTTTATCTTGGTAAAATTGGTAAATTGGCACCCCCACATAACCAAAAATTAACCATTTCAGGGTCGACAGGCCCTCTCCCAGAATTGTCCGGTTCGACAAATTTAAAAAAAAAAAAAAAAAATTATTTCTTCTTATGAAAAGATAGAGGAACTCTTCCCGATCATAATGACACCAAAAGTATGAAATTTGATGGAAAACTTATGGAATTATGCTCTTGCGAAGTTAGCCGTCTCGATGATGTTTACATATTGGCGATTTTGCCCGCTTTGAGCCCTATTTTCAGTCAATTCCAGTGTATTAGTCGACAAAATCATAACTATTTCACTAGAACTCCATTTTTTCTATTGAATGAGTACAAGAAACCACCCATTTACTGATTTCAACTATCCAATGAAGTGGTCAGAATTTAGCAATTTTGCCAATTACACACAAATTTTAAAAGATGCCAATTTCCAAATAGGGTCCAGAATAAACAAGAAAGACATTCCTGGCACTAAAATAACATTTCCTCTGTTTGTTAGTCATGTCCCCATGCCCCTCTTACATTCTTTTGCTTTCCACTTTGAATTTTTATTCTCACAAAAAATAGAAGCTTTACTGTTATGCAGACTACTGCATTAGTGTAGAAATGGTATAAATAATATCAGCGCCCTTGTGAAAGAATATTAGACTCGCCAGTTGACGTGTATTGGACGCGTAGCATGATTTGTTTACTTTTGAACATTGGCAAAAATCGAACATTTCTGCTACTTTGAGCTCAATTTCAAGGTACTTTTCATTGTAAACCCAATCAAAATCGTCTCAATTTCTGTAATGTGTCTTCCATTCTATAAAATGAGACCAGGAAAACTAAATACCATTATTTTATACTTGGTTGGCAGGACAGTAGTACCTCCTGGGCAGTTGCTGTCTACCAACCAACTACTTAGGTTATTAACATTTTTTTTTTTTTTTTCAACAAGTCGGTCGTCTCCCACCGAGGCAGGGTGACCCAAAAAAGAAAGAAAATCCCCAAAAAGAAAATACTTTCATCATTCAACACTTACACCACACTCACACATTATCACTGCTTTTGCAGAGGTGCTCAGAATACAACAGTCTAGAAGCATATACGTATAAAGATACACAACATATCCCTCCAAACTGCCAATATCCCAAACCCCTCCTTTAAAGTGCAGGCATTGTACTTCCCATTTCCAGGACTCAAGTCCGACTATATGAAAATAACCGGTTTCCCTGAATCCCTTCACTAAATATTACCCTGCTCACACTCCAACAGATCGTCAGGTCCCAAGTATCATTCGTCTCCATTCACTCCTATCTAACACGCTCATGCACGCTTGCTGGAAGTCCAAGCCCCTCGCCCACAAAACCTTCTTTACCCCCTCTTTCCAACCCTTTCGAGGACGACCCCTCCCCCCCTTTCCTTCCCCTATAGATTTATATGCTTTCCATGTCATTCTACTTTGATCCATTCTCTCTAAATGACCAAACCACCTCTACAACCCCTCTTCTGCCCTCTGACTAATGCTTTTATTAACTCCACACCTTCCTAATTTCCACACTCCGAATTTTCTGCATAATATTTACACCACACATTGCCCTTAGACAGGACATCTCCACTGCCTCCAACCGTCTCCTCGCTGCTGCATTTACCACCCAAGCTTCACATCCATATAAGAGTGTTGGTACTACTATACTTTCATACATTCCCTTCCTTTGCCTCCATAGATAACGTTTTTTGACTCCACATATACCTCAACGCACCACTCACCTTTTTTTCCTCATCAATTCTATGATTAACCTCATCCTTCATAAATCCATCCGCCGACACGTCAACTCCCAAGTATCTGAAAACATTCACTTCTTCCATACTCCTCCCCAATTTGATATCCATTTTTTCTTTATCTAAATCATTTGATACCCTCATCACCTTACTCTTTTCTAGTTCATTTTTCAACTTTTCCTTTACCACATTCTCAAACTCATCCACTAACTTTGCAATTTTTCTTTAAAATTTCCCCCAAAAGCACGTATCATCAGAAAAAAAGTAACTGTGTAAATTTCCCCCTTTTGAATTTGTTTCCCCCATTTTTTAAATCCCCCCCCTCCCCCGAACACCCTAGATTTATTTCCCTTTTACAACCCCATCATAAAATATTAAACAACCAGGGACATTACACATCCCTGTCAAAGACCTATTTTACGGGAAGTTTCTCCCTCCTTCTCCCCCCTAACCTGACCCTCACTTCCTCTAAAAACCTTTTAAAAATTTTAGAAACTTCCCCCTTTTCCATTACTTGCAACTCTGCCCTTGCTCCTTTCCCCTATATATGCCTTTTTAAAAATCATAAAGCAATAAAAACTTCCTCCTTTTCTAAATACTGTTACATATTGTAGTGTAAAGCACCCTTTCTGGCAAGACGGAGGAGTGAATGATGGGGAAAGTTTTTCTTTTTCGGCCCCCTGCCTTGGGGGAATCGCCGTGTGATAAAAAAAATAAAAATATGCTTCAATGAAAACACTTGATCTACAATCCCCTCCCCTTGAAGCCCCCCTGCTCATCCGCAATCCTACTTCTGTTTTCCTCTAATTCTTTCAATTAAACCCTACCGTATACTTTTCCTGGTATACCATAAACTTTTCCCCTTTAAAAATTTTTTCAATCTCTTTTGTCCCCCTTCCCTTTATAAAAGGGGATATAATGCTCTCTGCCAATCTCTGGGTATTTTCCCCTTTTCATACTTTTTTTTGTTTTATTATAAAATGGCCGATTCCCACCAAGAGGGTGGGCCCCAAAAAAGAAAAATTTTTCCCCAACATTCACCTCACTGTCTTGCCAGAGGGGGTTTTACCTACATTTTAAAAAACTGCAACATTACCCCCTCCTTAGGTGCAGGACTGTACTTCCCTTCCAGGACTCGTGTCGGCCCCGGGCCCCCTAAACCCCCTTATAAAGTTACTTTCTCACACTCCAAAGGCACGTAAAGTTTAAAAAAACCTTTGTCTCCATTCACTCCTATCAAAACGCTCACGATCCCTGCGGGAAGCCCAAGCCCCTCCACACAAACCCCCTTTCCCCCCTCCCCCAAACCTTTCCTGGCCCGCCCCCTACCCCCCCTTCTTCCATACGGGATGATTCCTTTTAAAGTCATTCTGTTTGCTCCATTTCACATGCCCAAAACCCAACCTAAAAAAACCCCTTCCCACCTTTGGACAACAGTTTTGGAATCCCGCACCTCCTCCAACTTCCAAACTCGGGAAATTTTCTGCTTATATTCACACCACACATTGCCCCCAGAATGACATCTCCAGCCTCCGCCCTTTTCCTCGCTGCAACATTCATCACCCATGCTTCACACCCATATAAGAGCGTTGGTAAAACTATACTCTCATACATTCCCCTCTTTGCCTCCAAGGAAAAAGTTCTTTGTCTCCACAGACTCCTAAGTGCACCATACATTTATTAAACAAAAATACCAACCACTCCAACGCTATATCCCCCCCTGCTTTTAACATTTCTGTCATGATCCCATCAGTTCCAGCTGCTTTACCCCCTTTCATTCTACATAATGCCTCACGTACCTCCACCACACTTAAATTCTGCTCTTCTTCTCTCCTAAAAGATGGTATACTTCCCTGGCCAGTGCATGAAATTACCGCCTCCCTTTCTTCCTCAACATTTAAAAGTTCCTCAAAATATTCTCGCCATCTACCTAATACCTCCCTCTCCCTGTCTACTAACTCCCCTACTCTGTTTTTAACTGACAAATCCATACTTTCCCTAGGCTTTCTTAACTTGTTTAACTCACTCCAAAATTTTTTTCTTATTTTCATTAAAATTTCTTGACA